AAAATGATTCAGATGAGTCATTACAGTGCAAGAAATGCGCGTGTGCATGATTTTGCGCTAAGTGCACGAGTAGCGCAATTTAACTGCGGGCAATGATTCGCCCTTTGCCATTTTTTCGAATTTGGCAGCAGAAATATATGCTTACACCAAATTTTAACCCATTTGTTCTTATTTACTTTTTACATTCAGCATCCATTGAAGCTGCGACGATTTCTCGTGGGTCGTGATAACTGCTGGTTGTCTAGCCAGAGGACATGCTTTCCTTTTCTCTTCTTTTTTTCTGTTTTCTTTTTTTCTAATGTCGATTTTAAATGTGTTTGAATATTCAGAAACAGAAAGACAATAAAGTGATCACTTGTGGAAATTCTGTGTATTAAAGTGATCTTATAAGGTTGTTATGTATGTTTTGGGCTAAGATTTTTTCTAGGCTTAAATTAAATCTTTGTAGCATTATATAATCACTATATTCTAATGTTTTGTTTTACGTTACATTCATTTTTTTTTCGTCTTGGCACGTGCAAGCGTATGGAGTGTCTCTTGCGAATTTTGTGCAGAGTCAGTACATTTGACGTCCATTTATGATATGGATATTTATGCAGAACTAGTATAAAATTAACTGCAGTTAGAAATATTAATGTTTCCATATGAAACATGAGTTTCATCATATAAATAGTACAATTCAAAATGGTGTGGAATAATACAATATCATAGAAAGCATCAAATACAATGCATATTTATTGTGGCACGTCACTCTCTCCAAGTAGTATTCAAGACTTTTTAGACTCTGTTTGACTGGTCGACTTTTCTTGCTCTGTTTAGATATATTTTATGTGTCACCTCCTCCAAGTCATACATTGCTTAGAGAATATTGTTTATTCATGGTGTTGAGGTTCATTACTCTTCAGTTTTTTTTCTATCTTGAGTGATGAATTTGAGATGCTTTTATTGTATGCTGCAGCTTCATTTGAGTGTAAAAACTTTGTTTTGTGATACGGTTTTTTCTGTATTTGGATCTGTCCTAGTGGAATGATGTGTGTTCTTATATTAATATTGATAGTTTGATATTACAATGCTAACATCTCTCAAACTCAGTTGTGGCATACTGATACAACCTGCTTTTCAGGTGTGCGCACGATTGCATGTATCTTTATGTAGATGTAGAATTTGCGCACGTTCTATGTTGGGGGCAAAGGCTTTTTTCAGGAATAGTTTTGATTTGACTGTGTGAACTGTGTGATTCATGATTTAGACGTTTGTCGTGAATTAATTAATTTTACTGATCTGTAAGATCAGCACTAAGCTATATCTTCATTTATATTATAGTTGTCGAAAGGAAGTGTCGTGTTTCATAAGCGTGAATTTTATGAAACAACCTTCAGTTATACAATGATATTGATTTGTTGAATTTAACTTTCGACCTTAGATCCATCGGAAACGTATATCCATCTGTATATAGGCTTGCTTTCATTTGTTCTCGTGGTGATTTTTTTTTTTTCAAATTTACCATAATTGCGATAATGCTCACATGGTATAGTGTACTCTATTTTACAGAACAAATGTTTTCAGTTATCCAGAGGCTCCGGTTCCTTGACTAACGGCGAAATGTCTTACGATAAGTCAACTCGAGCAGATCACAAACGCGGTCAACCGTTGTTCGTGGGTAATTCTGAGCAAGAGCTGTTTTCCAACAAGAAGCAAGCAGTAGAATCTGCGCAAAAACTCGAACCCCAGCACACACAGCTTATGACAATAATACTTTCCAGTTCCCACGATGCCCCTGGCTCTATCAAACTGGAAAAAAAGGGCTCCGAGAGTCGATTGAAAAATGATTATCTAGTTAGTCTAAGCATGTCTCAGGCAGCGGAAGATCCTCAGTTTCGCAACACCGCACTTTGAAAATTCAAAGTCAACGAGGTCCCGCAGAAGAACAATAGTGTAAGGGGAAGCAACTTTCTGACGTCCGGTAATAATTTGATGCATGCTGAGCTGGCTAGCAAGACAAACGGCAATTTCTTGTTGGACAATCACTACTACAACTCGTTAGGACATTATGGAAAATAGGAAGACTACTCTATATGCAGATGCAGTGGCTCAGGAGCTGAAGGCTACACCCAGGGGCGTAGCCAGGATTCAAAGTTTACCTGGGCTATAATTATTTAAGAAAATATGAAATATTGCAAATAGACATGTTCAAGGTTTGTAAACTAACAATTGGCGGTTCGAACCGTCAATCAATGGTTCTGTTAACCATCGACTTCCTATTACAATTTGGCAGTTCGATTAGGGATTGCAAAATATCGAAACTGTAAACGAAGGTTTGGTTATGAAATATAAAAAGAAAATAATAGTTTTTTGAATATTTTGGGAGGGGAACCCAAAAAAAGGCAGTTAATGATTTCACAAAATTCAGAAAAATAAATGGTGGAAAACTGTCTAAACCACGTTCCTTTGTAAAAGCGACGCTTTTTTTGAAAATCGGTAGTTTCTAACGATTTTTCTAATTTTTTGCATTAGAAATAATTAAAAGCTGACTGTTCGAACCGAAAACCAGTGGTCCAAACCGGACCGGAATAGTAACCGTCAGTGTAACAACTGACTACGAAGTGCCAATATTGGTAATTGTTACTGTTTTGGATTTTTGGCCAACCAAAGTCGGTTACAAATCAGCTATTTCATAACCGAGAACGTGTCTAATTGCAAATAAGGCAATATTTTCCCTACATATTTATCATTAACACTAAGATTTCATCAATTTGAATCCAACAAATGGCATTGATATTTGGATGGTTGCAAGGGAATTACAAAACTAAAAACAAAATAAGAAGAAGAAAAATATCATATTCTACTCGTAAGAAAATATATCTTCCACCATATAAATAATAAAATAAAAATATATTTACTTACGGATCATAACCAAAATCTTAAATATCTTACTCTTAATTATTTTTTAAAGCAAAATTTTAGCTTAATATATAATAATAATCGAGATATACCTTCTAAATATATCCCTTTAATTAGTAATTACCAATAGTAAGAAATTAGGTGAAAGAGAAATTGACTTGGGCAAAGCATGTATGTATAATGGTTGATAGAATTATTTATTTGGTTAAATTATTGGCAGGCTAACTACAAAACAAAATAAGATTTGTATATATAATGTTGGTTTTGCGTGAAAGTCAGCCCGGGCTACAGCCCAGGGAACCGTGTAAGTGCCTCCGCCCCTGGCTACACCACCTGAAAAGCTCTTCGAAGCAGGTTAAATAGGAAGACTACTCTATATGCAGTGGCTCAGGAGCTGAAGGCTACACCTCCTGAAAAGCTCTTCGAAGCAGTAAAAACCGCCACTGGATCTACAATCCACCTGGCAAATTTCCTTACTTGGAGAGGTGACTTTTATCTTTTTTTTTTTTTCCTACCCATTATCTTTTTTTCTCCACATTTAACAAATTGCAACTTCTAAAATGGCCAGTTTCTTGAAAATTGAAAAAAAAAAATGATTCAGATGAGTCTTTACAGTGCAAGAAATGCGCGTGTGCATGATTTTGCGCTACGTGCACGACTAGCGCAGTTTAAGCGGGCAATAAATAATTCACGCCCTTTGCCATTTTTCGAATTTAGCAGCAGAAATATATTGCTTCACCAAATTTTAACCCCTTTTTTTGTTCTTATTTACTTTTACATTCAGCATCCTTTCAAGCTGCGACGATTTCTCGTGGGTCGTGATAACTGCTGGTTGTCTAGCCCGACGACATGCTATGCTTTTTTTTTTTTTTGGGTAATGTTGATGTAAAATGTGTTTGAATATTTCAGAAACAGATAGACAATAAAGTGATCACTTGTGGAAATTCTGTTTTTAAAGTGATGTTTAAGGTTGTTATGTATGTTTTGGGTTAAGCATTTTTTTTTTTGCTTAAATTGAATCTTTGTACTATTATATAATCACCATATTCTAATGTTCTGTTTTATGTCACATTCATTTTATTTTATTCTATTTTATTTTATTTTTTGTCTGGGCACTTGCAAGTGTATAGACTATAGAGTGTTGCGAATTTTGACGTGCATTTATGATATGTGATAATATTTGTGCAGAATTAGTATAAAATTAACTGTAGTTATAAAAAAAAATGTTTTCACATGAAACATGAGTTTCATCATATAAATAGTTCAATTTAAAATAGATGTGGAATAAATAATAATACAATATCATAGACAGCATCAAATACAAAGTCTCTATTAAGTATTTCAAGACTTGATGGACAAATACAACTTAAGTGCAAATTTGCAGTTCATTGGATGTTTTAACAAACCATTTATATTATCAATTACAAAACTTCTCCTTCTCAAACAACACTATCACCAGATATTGTTGTCTTTGCAGAAAGATTAGTAGTCGATGTCGCATTTTGTCGACCAACGATTTCAGTCTCGACATAGAAACATTCTTTCTCGTCTTTACTTTTGCCCCAAATGACCAAGTACAACCCAATAACAATTACCATAGCTCCGATTACCCTGCAATTATCACCCTATAGTTAGCATTTTAAAATTAATACCAATATGACTACACACGTATTCGGTTGAACTGGTCAAAATCGATTAAGCGATTAAGCAGTTGAACTCTAGCTGTTTTACATGTTCGTATAGTCTGATAGACGAACACACATTTTTTTTTTAATTTTTTTTTTTCGTAATTTTGGATACATAGTTACTTACTTTCCCACATCCAATTGCTCGGCCAGGATGAAAGAGCTCAAAACCGCAACAATGACCATATTCAGAGGATTAAACGAGGTGACGAAAACAGGTCCTTTTTCTTCCATTATGACACCCGAAACATAGTAAGTAATTGCCGAACACATTATCCCCTGCATTGAATAAAACATGATAATTTCCTTATCAAAGGCCAAAAAAAAGGTACATCATTCGAAGAATAAGCGGAAATGTAATATAATCTTACGCCATAAACATAAGCTACGAGTTTTATATCCCATCCTATGGACCATACAGCCGTGTTGCACCTCTCGACCGCTAGAGTCAACACGGCTCCTTGCAAAGCCCCCGCCATGCATATTAGGCTCGTCAGTGAAAGTCCGGCCGGGTATGATTTCAATGTGGTCGCCTACAATTCATTTCACAATAAAATCAAAAGGGTTTAAAAGAATATACTTCACTACATTTCGCTCGATGTGAAAACGAAGGAAAAATTTAAGTCGAGTTTTTTACCGTTGGATATGTGTGTATATGACTATATGTATTGTATCATGTGAGTGTTTTCACTGGTAGGGGTCGAATTTGCCACAAAATAATAATAATAATAATAATAATAATAATAATAATAATAATAAAAATAAAATAAAAAAAAAAGTAGAAAAAGTACCTGTAGTATGTAAAAGATGGACCAACAGCAACAAGCGGCCGTTATCAATATAGCTCCCTTGATTGGATCTTGATGGGCCATCAACTCGTCGTCACTTTGGGAGTTGGGCTTGAGTTTGGTCCAAGGCAGCCCAATAACCGAGCCTTTGGCAAGAGTCATGATCATGGCCCCACCAACAGTTACCAATGTCCCCACAATCTTAGCTTGGCCTTGTAATCTCCCAACATCCACTCTTTCAAGCCTATAAAACACACACACACACACACACACACACACACACACATTTTATACAAATATGTGTAAACTTAACTTGACAAATGATACTATTTCAAATGACATCATCTAAACACTTGTGAAAAAAATATTATGTGGGGACTTTTGTATATGTTAGTGTATGCGACACGTAAAAGAACAAAATCGCGCTTAAAATTTCGAGGGGAAATAGTATTAACCTGAGTGCCCAAGCTAGTACAAAAGTAATGGCTGGAAGAACGTTGCACATGGCGGAAGTGAAAGTAGCCGTTGTGTATTTCATTCCCATATAGTATAAGTTCTGGTCTATAACGGGCCTGCCACAAGAATTTATGATTGCCGCGTTTTAATATTGTTATAAATCAATTACGAAAGAAAAAAATGATCGACGAATGCATGGATCATGCGAATAGACTACTAATGGCACTGCGATTTATTTTTGTTTTGTTTTATTTGTTCGTTTCTTTTTGCGAACACAAGATGAGGGTAGAGCAAAGAGTATTTACTCGAGGAACGCCAGTAGGATTATCTTGTAGAATACGGACAAGGTCATTCTCGGGCGGATTTTCCTATTCGCGAACAAAAATACGATCATTTTCTCTTCAAGACAGCATATCAAAATGGAAAAAAAAAAATAAAAATTATTGTTAAAAGAAAACCTTTCGAAAACTAATGCAAAAGGGGCAACAGAAAGCGCGGCAATGACATTTCTATAAACCGAAAACGAGAAATGGCTCATTCCGCGGTCAAGGGCCGACTTGGCGATTATAGCAAACACTGCATAGCCACATTGCAAGAACACAACACCCAAATAAGGCTTCATTTGCTTCACAAATTTAGGATCCATCAAAAAAAGAGGTTTAATTAATTTCTTGTTTAGGATTTTTGTGTTCTTAATTATCTGTTTCTCTTCACAATGCTAAGAATGTTAAGAGTGTGTGTGTATATATAGGCACAAACAATCAAAGGTGTTACATTTCCTTGTCATGGCATTAGAAAGCCATTTTAACACGATTGCTTAAGTTTTTTCTTCAGTTTTATGAAACAATGGATGATCACTAGCTAGAATAAAATTAAATATTTTTTTTTCTTAGGTGGCCATTTTTGGAGTACAAAGATCATAATTGGCCTCTTTATTTTAATAATTAACCATGGAATATTTATGGTGGATTGTTACTGTGATAAAAACCAGTGAATGTAGTAATTAAGGCGGGGACTAATGCTAAGAAAGATAAAAGTAGGAAACATGGCCTCTTAGTATGGACTTTTTATAGGTAAATCTAGAGTTGTTCGAGTTTAGGAAGATTCTACGGTCCCATTACGAAATTATTCCGTCGAGGTTTGTAACTGTTAGATCAACTATCCACGACGGTTACATCTAACGGTTACAAATCCCAACGGAATAGTTCCGTAACGGACTGTACCATTTCCCAAATATATTAGAATTATTTTCGGAGTTTGCTAATCTTATGTATCAATTTTTGATGTTCTAAAAAAAACAAAAAAAAAAAAATAGTTTTTGAAAATTAATTTTGCCCTAGATGAGCGATTCCGACCATATCCCACCCGCGGCCCTCCAAGTCGGCTCGGCGACCTTCGATCCGGGAGACCACTCATGGAATCACGCCCATGATACAGAATTCCCGGCTCTTGCGCGCGCTACCCTGCAAGTGAACAAGCGGCTCAAGACCCGCAAGCGAACTGTTGACCCGTTTGAGGAAACCCTTGGCCCACAGTCCCCGCCGCCTCAACGTCTGGACCTGGAAACCGATAAAGAGGCGCTGCCACGACGTTGGACAATTAAGGAGATGATCAATAAAAATCGGACCCATGTGGATATGGACTATGACGAGCTCGGGAAGGAAATGGAAGGAGAGGACGACGTGATAATGGACCTCTCTCAGGATACGCCGGAGATTACTATAGCCATGCGGTTTTTAGATGCAATTGACAAAGAATGGAGGAATGTGGTTGTTGTTAAACCGTTTGACGAATCGTTTACCATGCCATCGCTATACAATCGCCTCTCTAAGATGTGGCCGTGCATGGCGGGGTGCAACATGATGGATCTAGAGAACGACTTCTTTCTCATCCAATTTCGCCATCGCGAAGACACGGTCCAAGTTCTCACCGGTGGGCCCTACGTAGTTGGCAACAGCTATATGCATGTTCAACCGTGGACTTTAGACTTTGACGCGACAGAAGAGGAATTAAAGGCAACTGTCGCTTGGATTCGGCTTCCGGGCTTGCCTGCCCATTTTTACCACAACAAGATTTTTTGTAAAATTGGTCAGGTAGTGGGCAAGGTCGTTAAGATTGATCAACAAACGGCCGCACTAACCCGTAGAAAATATGCTCGGCTAGCAGTAATGGTGGATCTCACTAAGCCTCTTTGCGTAGAATTTACCATTAATGGACGATACCAGAGGGTAGAATACGAGAGTTTGTCTGTTATCTGCTTCTAATGCGGGAGGATTGGTCACTTCGGGGGCTCCTGTCTTCAAAAACTGCCTTCCTCTGACCGTCAGGGTACCCACTCCGGGTCGAACCCAAAAACGCCACCGCCGGATGGAAAACAAGCTCGGGAGAGACGGTGAATACGGCGAGGGAGGAAGGTTCCCAATGTTTCGGCACGTGGATGCAGGTCCCTCAGCACCAACGCCGGCCATACACAAGACGCGAGCGCGGGGCGGACAAGACACTGAGCGGCAAAGCATCGGTCATGTCCTTGGGTCGGGGGTCCTGCTTCGGCGTGCTGGACAGCGAGGAGACGCGTGAGGAGAGTTCAGTTTTTCAATTTGGCGCTTCTTCCGTAACTCACGGGCCAGAGATTAATTATGTCCATGCTCCACACACAGATTCAGAGATTGACATGGTTGGCGAGTGGTCTCGGGGCGCGGGCAGAGATGGAGCTCGGGTCTTTTCGGAAACGCAAAGGAAAATAGAGGGAGCAGGGGTGATAAAGCCACTGATCTGAGGCAAGTAGCAAGCAAAGGCAAAGCAGTAGCAAAAAATCCTTCGTCCAGTATGGGCCAACCTGGAGAGCGGCATAATGGACAGTCTGGGCGCGTCGCCCCACGGGCCTCTCAGGATCACGAAGGGTCGGTTATAATTAGTGCGGGACTCAATCCGAACAAACACCGGGCGTTTGTAGTTCTAGATGAACGGTTTATAGGGACTCACCACACACACCCACCGGATACGTCCTCTGTGGAAGCAGTGGAGGATGCCCTCATGGAGGAGGAAGGGCACAATGTACGGCGGTAAGAACCATGGCCCGAGGACCCCGGATTATTCCAACTCTCGGATGCCAATCCAGATGAGTGCATGTGCACGGACGAGAGTTCGATCTAGCAGGCCCAGGGCCTTGATTGAGGGGGACCGTTTTCGTCTTCTGTTATGGTTGTTATGAATATATCACATGGAATGTACAGGGTGCTGGCTCGCCTGGTTTCGGGGAGTTTTTTCCACCCTTATACACCAGCATCATCCAGACATTGTGGCGATTTTCGAGCCTCGCATTAGTGGAGTGACGGCGGATAATTTCGTGCGGTTTAGAAAATTTGACAACTCGTTCAGGGTCGAAGCCCGTGGGTTCTCGGGCGGTATTTGGGTGTTGTGGACTGATAAGGTACAAGTAGAGGTACTGCGGTACACACGCCAGCTGGTCCACGTGCGAGCTTCCACTGATGGTGTGGCTTGTTTCATCACTTTCGTGTACGCTAGCCCGCACGTGTTGGGTCGTAAGAGTTTATGGGACTCTTTGGGTAGCCTGGCCTTGCAAATCTCCGAACCATGGCTCATTGGGGGTGATTTTAACTGTCTACTTCATCGGTCTAAGAAACAAGGGGGTCCCCCAATTTTTGTAATGTCAGCCAGGACTTTGCCAACTGGATGTCTGATAACAGTCTACAGGAGGTCGCTACGGATGGGCACCACTTCACGTGGACCAGAGAGACTCGTTCGGGCACTGTGGCAGAAAAATTGGACCGTTTTGTGGCTAACATCCCTTGGCTTGATAAGTTCGACATGAGCCGCTCTCGACTTCTGCTAGGGTGCAATCTGACCACTCTCCCCTCTTCTTAGGAATTGGTCGGGCCTTCCGTCGGTCACCTGGGAGGAAACCTTTTCGCTTCTTAGCAACATGGCTCACCCATCCGGGTTTCAAGGACATGCTCTATTCCTCGTGGCCAACATCCTCGGGCTATTTGGAGGCCGCTAATCAGTTTACTATGGCCGCGACAGAATGGAACCGTGATGTGTTCGGTAACATCTTTAGAGGAAAGAAGCGTTTGTTGTCTCGCTTGGGAGGCATCTAGAGGCGCCGCTATATTCCTCATTGTCTTGTTTCGTTAGAAAGATAACTCCAAACAGAGCTAGATGATGTCATCCGTCAGGAAGAAATGATACTATTGCAGAAGGCCACGAGGGACTGGAGCTACCTTGGCGACAGAAAATACGACATTCTATCACGGACAAATTAAATTCCAGCGTCGGAGGGGGCGGATTACCGAGCTTGAAGACACAGATGGGTCCTTAGTGACAGACCAGGAGGCCCTTAGTCGACTCGCTACGGAGTTTTTTCGTGGCATCTACACGGCCGGCCCAAGCCCGGGGACACCCTCGAGTCCGGAGACCTCCTTTCCGGTCTGTGACATGGAGGTGATGAGCAGCCTGGGAAATGATATTACAGACGCTGAAGTTTCCACGGCCTTGCGCCAAATGGCGCCCCTCAAAGCTCTGGGATGTGACGGGCTCCATGCTCTATTTTATCAGCAGGAATGGGGTACAGTCAGTCCAGCGGTCCAACGGCTTATTAAAGAGATGTGGCAGCATGGTCAGGTCCCGGCCCAAATCAATAAAACATTGCTGGTGCTGATTCCTAAGGTCGACAATACTCGTACGGTCCGGCAATTTCGCCCTATCAGTTTGCTGAACGTGATATATAAGCTTTTCACTAAGGTGTTAGTGAACAGATTGAAGAGCACTTTACCTACCTTAATTCACCTAGCCCAGGCTAGTTTTGTTCTGGGATGTCACATCACGGATAACATCATTACCGTGCAAGAACTAATTCACTCAATGCGGAGCAAGCGAGGGAAAAAGGGCTCCATGGTCATTAAGGTGGATCTTGAAAAAGCCTACGACTACTTACGATGGGACTACATCGACGAAACACTTCGGCTAGTGGACTATCCAGAGAAACTTGTTCGTGCGATTGTGGCTTGTCTGACCTCCGCCTAGATGAATTTATTATGGAATGGGACAATTGGCGAGGAATTTCAGCCCTCCAGAGGAGTACGGCAGGGTGACCCCATGTCCCCCTATTTATTTGTCCTTTGCATGGACCGGTTGGCCCAGAGAATATGTCGAGCGGTGGAGGATTCGTCTTGGCTGCCCATTACAGTCGGCCGGGATGGGATCTCTGTGCCCTTTTTTATGTTCGCTGACGACCTACTCCTCTTCTTGGAGGCCTCGGATAATCAGGTATCTACTTTGCAGCAGGTACACGATTGCTTTTGCTCCCAGTCAGGACTTCGAGTTAGCCCGAAAAAAACACGGGTTTATTTTTCCCACAATGTGCCGGCGCACGAGAGGCTTAGGATTTCGACGGCTCTTAACTTTCAGCTCACTGAGAATTTGGGGAAGTACCTCGGGGTGCCTCTTCTCCACGACTGAGAAACCGAGACCACTTATTCCCATATTTTGGAACGCACGAACTCACGATTAGTCGCTTGGCGCATGAAGTCTTTTTCCTTGGCTGGACGTGTGACACTGACACAATCGGCTTTGAGCTTGCTACCTCTCTTCTCGATGCAACTG